TAAAGAAAAATTCGCGTTCAAGAAGAATCCATGATTTTGCCTTGTCATCGTCCATCAAAATCACAAACATTAAGTCATAATTCGCTCAGTAGCCAACAATTTTATGTCACCATCGAACAGAATCGGTTCAAGAATTATTCCACAAAACGAGGATGATAAACTATGCTCATTGGGAATTCAGTCAAACTATCTATCGTTCCTGTGATAATGTGAATTCGTTGATAGCAAATGTGTGCGAACAACGAATGATTAATTATGTCCAATACACTATGAATATTCATAAAGTAAACTGAGACGAACTGAAGCACTGGTGGGTCTCTTGGGTGAATAAATAGTGTGACTGACTAGTAGAGATTGTATTCTCGAGAGCACAAATAGTGTCTATCTATCATAAATTTGTTGCTGGTACATTTTTAGTTACTTGAGAGATAGATTACTATAGTAAGTTGAATGGAGCAGTTGAATTTGAAATGCGATAATAACACGGAAGGAAAATAAACAAAGAGTTAACTATTCATAACAATCTCTTAATTATTCATCGATTATATTTTATGAATTGCGAGCATCAAATACACGTCTTATAGTCATAGCTGCTCGGATTTGAATTCAGAAACAAAGTGCTCCTCCCCTCTTCCCTTCACATTCGTTATCGTCTTTCAATCTAACCAACAAACAATCCCTATTCTCGCACTGTCTGAAATCGATCGAAAATTTGATGCCTGAAGCATATTTGCGTGTCTTGTACAATGTATAGGAATACAAATGTTTTGCATGAACGCACATAAATTTGTAACAATACATGTGTACACGCATGNTAAATACATTCAACAAATTGTGGTCGTCAGAACCCATTGACAACATTAAGGATTGTGAACAAACACTAATTCGTCACTGCAATTCAGTTTAAGCAATGAACCATCCATCATAATAGTCAAGTGAAGATTATTTATGGCTGATTCTTATATGACGATGGGGATGTGTGCATTCTGTCAAAAATGTTGACTTATCATCGTTTTTGTTAAATGCGTATCGTATTGTTCAGGCACAACTCATGGGAGCCACGTGAGAATATATTGGACGAGAGATTATTTGCGGAATACGAAGCAAGGAAAGCGAAGAAGAACGATCGAAAGCGGTCAAGTACAAGTTCAGCAACATCCAAAAAGTCGCCACCCACTAAAAAGTCTAAACGACTAAGCGCTGCTGAACACCACAAACTCAACGACGATGACAGCGATGATAATGATAATCTAGATGATGACGAAGGTAATGATGAAATTAATTCAGTTCTCTTCTGAATGCATTACTTGTCCGTCTCTTTAGTAGTTGGTGTGTTTTAGTGGGTATTTCATTGTGATCATTACAAGTATGAGTTGAAGTCGAATATTTGAGTTAACAAATTTGTTGAACCGCAGCAACGCAAATTTTCCAGTCT